AAGAAAAGCTTGTTATGTTTGAGAGTTTTGTCTTGAATGTTTGTCACTCCTTGCAAAACAAAAACAAAAACAAAAAAACACCTCAGAAATTAAATCAGAACACGATGGAGAAGAAATGATATGTAAAATTTAAAGGTACAGTGGAGGAAAATAACTACAAATATGTACAAAATATTGTGCGGATATACATGAAAAATAGATAAAACACCATTTGTCTAAACATTAACATGAACTTTTATAACTGCTTTTTTCCTCACAAGAGTTAAACATTGTTTCTGTACCTTTAATAATTTTTTAAAAATATTTTATGCTTTTTAAAAATATTTTAGCTTAGTTTTTCTTTGATACTGTTGTTGGGTCTCTCCTCTTTACTCTGCTGTAACTAAAAAGCATATTTTTAGTTTCAAAGCAGGCTTACTGACAGATTCTTTCCAAAAGGTCAAACAGCTGAATTCAGAAGTCAACAAGGCCCCGGTTGTCTAACCAATGTTCCAGCTGGGCTTTTGCCATGAAGAAGAGTCAAGTGCTCTGGTTTGTTATTCTTCACACTGTACCAAAGGCCTCAGCGCAACGGATCCAAAATTTCACAGTTACGCTTCTAGGCCACACACTAAAAATGCACAGAACACCACAGATGCAGGTCTTTTAGACAAAACCCACCATCCATCAAGAGCAAAAAGCTAGAGTGGCTGGAAAAAGATGGGAAGAAAACAGCCTTTTGTTTATAAGGATTATAAGGGAAGGGGGGGAAAGGAGAGAGTCAAGTGCAGGTTTTCAGAGCTGTACATAAAAAGCCCATTCATCAGGTGATAAGAGTCACATGCATTTGATTGTGCCAGTTTAACAAAAACCATAGTAAGAGGCATTTGTTTAGGCGATAATCAGTAACTGAAGAAATAGCAGAGGAAACAAAGACACTCCAACCATTCAAAGGGCGAAGGGCAGAGAGAGATAAAGAAAGTAAGGAAGGGCAGACAGCTCCAACACAGAGGAGAAAGCAGCAAAATTGATGGGGGGAAACTTGAGAATATTTATTCATTTATTTTAAAAACTATCTATGGCTCCACCCAATCCATATGGTTATGGGCAGCAAGCTTTTCATACGTGGCAACTTTAAAGGTATGTGGACTTCAACTCCCAGAATTGCCCAGCCAGCATGTGGAACTCTGGGAGTTCATGTCCACAATCTTAAAGTTGCCAAGCTTGAAAGCACTGTCATACATAATTCTGCCCTTACCACTTCCCAAATACCTATCACCTAGTAAGTCTGATTAAAAAAAAAAATTAAGTACATAGATTACTGCAAATTTCAAAACAGTGGTTTATCCAGTTAAAAAGGAAAATCAACATGTAAGTTACACCTAATGGAATTTCATGTAAATGGTATTTCCTTTCTTTAGAAAAGCATTTGCTAAAATACTTGTTAGAAAGAATATCCAATATCCAATAAATAGTCCAATAAAACAGGTTTATCATCATGTTTGAAATAACAGATGAAGCCATGCATCAAAATCACTAATAGATTCATTACCAGAGAAGTTTTTAGAAAGTGGATCCGATGTCCTCTTTATGATCGTATATTTTCTATAAACACATTCAGAATTAGTTTCTTATATTTTTATTCATATGCTCCTGTTTCTAATCAAACAAAGGTTTTAATATAAACGGGGACAGAGAAATATCTACATTATATATTTTCCAAATAAACTGCCTATGTTTATGACAGGACTGATTGGGACTAAATTCCGCTTATAAAGCTTAGTAGTACTGCACTTTAGTTCTTTAGCAGTAGCCATTTTGAGATGCATAATTTATCGCTACACTTTAAGGCATATAGTCTGTATGCAGATCTGTGAACTTGAACTGTCTGAAGCCAGCCAACCAGCCAGCAATATTTCCTTCTTTTCATGAGGACACAAAGCAGCTCTTTGTTTTTCGAAATGACTCTTAAAATAGGTTATCTACCATATCTTGAACACAGAGAAGCTTGTGGCACTAAAGCAAAACCAATGACTTAGTCCTATGATCTCCTTCAATGATGTGGACAGAATTGGAATTTTCTCTCAACCATATCTTCGCTTTAACCTATGCTCTGCTAGTCTCCAGCCAATTGGATTTCATCCTTTCCAGGCTTACAAAGCCCCCTCTGAAACCACATTGAAAACTTGCACTTTCTTTCCAAATACAAAAGGAGAAGAAGCTCCAGAACAACAATACTTGGAATTTGGAACAGAGGGCATAATCTAACTTGGATAAAATCCAGGCTTACGAAGCCCCCTCTGAAACCACATTGAAAACTTGCACTTTCTTTCCAAGTACAAAAGGAGAAGAAGCTCCAGAACAACAATATTTGGAATTTGGAACAGAGGGCATAATCTAACTTGGATAAAATCCAGGCTTACGAAGCCCCCTCTGAAACCACATTGAAAACTTGCACTTTCTTTCCAAGTGCAAAAGGAGAAGAAGCTCCAGAACAATAATACTTGGAATTTGGAACAGAGGGCATAATCTAACTTAGATAAAATCCAGGCTTACGAAGCCCCCTCTGAAACCACATTGAAAACTTGCACTTTCTTTCCAAGTGCAAAAGGAGAAGCAGCTCCAGAATAATAATACTTGGAATTTGGAACAGAGGGCATAATCTAACTTGGACTGCATGACTCAACAGTAGTTTCTGAATCTGAGGCAACTTCCCCATTCACTTCCCGTCTCCCTCCCATGTGCACCCACTAGCGCTCTTTTGCAAGATGAAAATGGGTGTTCCTTCTTTTTTTAATCCTGGCCCTATTTGATTTTCTTCTTTAGAAATCAAATACTATAATCTTCCCCTTCCATTTTGCAACTGTGTGCAAATTCAGATCATAAGTACACACAAAACAAAATGAGCAAACTGTCCTGCTGAGAGCAGGAAAATAAGCATGAATTTTTAATTCAATAGAATATCTTGCTTGTCGTTTTTCCTTTAGGCCTTCATATCTTTTTGGGTTTAAAGAACCTTTTCGAAGTTCTTTAAAATTTCAAATGTAAGAGCAATTTGCAGAAACGCTTGAGATGAGCCAGTATAACCTAATGAGGGCATTTTTAAAAAAAAATAATAATATTTTATTAGATTTTATATGTGTAGGGAAAAGGTGGGGTCGGGACAGGTACAGGGAAATCAGGATAAAGGGGACAGGGTGTGGATAGCTACAGTAAATACATGATTCAGCGAACAAGCTGTAGTCTGGGTCTTCACATTGAGTATTATTGTTTATATAATACTAGACATTTATAAGAATAAATCGGTATAGTTACAACTGACTTTTGGTAAAACATCAATATTCCTTTAAATAATTAACATAGTTGATAGCATAGCAACTATTTCCAATCATCAGGCTTAATACTTAATATAATAAAGCTCTAAAATCTCTTCTTATTCTAACATGTTTCAACCACTGATAAAATTTTCCCCAGGTTTTATAGAAGATTGAATCCTCTTTCTCCTTCATCTCTAACGTTAATCTGTCCATTTCTGCACAATCTAGGATTTTCAAAATTATAATCTGGTCTGATGGTAGGTTTTCATTTTTCCAAAACTGGGCAAATACTATTCTTGCAGCTGTCAATACATATAATATTAAATAATCATTTTCTTTGCCGTAGTTAAGTCTTAATATACCTAACAGGAACAATTCTGGTTTAAATCCTATCTGGATTTTCATCATCTTTTCTAACTATCTATGAATCTTAGACCAGTATTTTTTTGCAATAGAGGGCGTTTAATGCTTGTTGCACAGAGGGATGAAAGCAAAGTCGGCTCTTAAAGTTATATCTATATATGACATTGGCTCAATCTCTTTACAGGTTATGTTCAGGTGTATGCTCTCTCCTTCCTCCAAAGACCCAAGCTCAGACCTCCCGGCTGAGAAGCGCAAGTTCAGGGGTTGGCGCTGCGGCGGCCTCCCCTTCGCTAACCTGCGTGCACGAGAAGAAGTCAATCCGGTTGCTGCACAATGAGTCTCTGGGGAGGGCGGAGCCTTGCTCTGCGCCTGCGCTCTTCATGCGCCCCCTGCAGGGCACATTTGGTAGAGTTCGTGCAGACTGCCGCCAAGCAGCATATTTTCCACAAACAAGTGAGGTGGAGCGGAGGGGGGGGAGGGAGAGAAGGTGGTTGACAAGCCCTGCCTAAGACCATCGGAAATATGTATTTTCCAATGGTCTTAGGCGACCCCTGTGAAAGGCTCGTGCGACCCCCAAAAGGGTCCCGACCCACACAGAACCGCTGCTCTAGATGCTTTGTTTCTCTGAACATTCTTACAATGTTTTGGGGGAAGGGTATTCCTGGGAAAAATCCCAAATCTTTTTATGGGTTCCAAAACACTGCAGATTATTTAAGATTATGATGTTAACTGTCAAAGAGAACCCTAATTAAGGATTTAAATAATAATATAAACATCCTGTCCAACAGCTGAAAGACCATTTCTGTGTCAATTGGGTCCAATACCTTGTGTTAAGGACTACAAAATAAGTTCATTAGAATGGTTCTTGATTGCTCTGTTGTTTCGTTTCAATGCTACAGAAAGGTGGGTGCAGATACAACCTGGATGTATAGGTAGAGACTCAATTCAGTAGTCTAATATTTATCCTAAATTTTCAAATAACCACCTATAGAAAAGAGGTTTATATCCAGTGTGGATAATATACCAATATGTCATTTCCCTAAGACTTCACCTCTTATTGTCTTCCCTGGTAAACTTATTAACAAAAATAAAACTGATTGCATAGGATTGGCCTTCAAAACAGCTAAAATACTTCAGCCACTCTAGAAGGCAATAAGACTATTGCCTGCAGCTCTGGAATCAAGTATATTAAAACAGGACTATAATTGTTCCTAAGGTATTAAAAAAAACCACCTTATAGATTAATTTATATCATTGTAGTCATTAACTTAAGTAAATACATGATTCAAGAAAAGTCTGCCTTTGTGTTCAAATTTCAGTATAACAATTATTCACTGTTACCTTTTCAGGTGATGCTGATGGTTCTACTAAATAGGGTTTCTGCTCACTGGACTTGTCACTATGATCATATTCTTGCACAGCAGAATTGGGCATGTGTCTCTTCCTGAGCCGTATACCTGGCTCCAGAGTGTTTGCATCTCCAAGATCTGTTGATTCGTTCATGAGATCAAGGCTCTTCCTGAAAAGAAGTTCTTATTTTTTTTTCCAGCAAGAGCAGTGACGAATTGGTTAGTTCTGAAAAACAAAGTTGATACTGATAAACATGTCATCCCTAAGTTATATAAACTAGTGTTTCTTAACCTTTTTGAACAAATCGCCCCCTTGAACCAATGAGGAGGTTGTCATCGCCCCCTCCCCTGACATAACCTCTCAATCACAACATAGGAAATAATTCTTCAATTTATCCAAACACTTTTTTGGTTTTCTTTAAAATTATCATCAGGACATATCGATGCAAATAATTTATTTCCAGTCTTTTCCCCATATCTCAACTGTGTGAAAAATTTTGGTGCCACCCGTCACTTTATTCCCAAACTTTGTGATACGTGTATTTTATTATTATCTTATTTATTCAAGGCACTTAAATGTAATGACCACTGAAAACAAAATTCAATTGCAGGAAAGTGAAATGCCCGAAAAGAAAAACAGTAAATTTAATGACTGAATTAAAAGTAAAATTTAAGATGCAAAAAGAAATATAAATGTGCATAAGAACAAACCGCAATGCAAGGAACTAAGAATTTCAAGACGAAAACTCTGAAACTAAATTAAGATTCGAAGAAAGTATTTATAGTCATGCACACTATAAAAAGGATTAAAAAGTCACAAAGAAAATATAATATCGAACTGGAGTACACACTAAAAAAGTACAATACAAAATGTTTTACAGAGCCACTTAGCACGCGATGTTTTGAAAGAAGCGCTCCCCCCCTCCATCAGATCTACAGCGATTCACTGTACGAAAAACTCTCCAAACTGCCCCCAAAACGTCTCGCTCCATCGCCTCCATATCGCCCCCTTTTCGTTCCTTCGCCCCTGCGTCACCCCTTTTCGTTCCATCGCCCCCCTGAAAAACGAAATTGCCCCCGGGGGGCAATATCACCCAGGTTAAGAACCACTGATATAAACCCATCTAGGATCTTTTCTTTTTACAGGTACCAAAAACCATAACCATCAAGAATACACATTTGGATGGAAAGAAGTCTCTTTTCTGGAATCTTTATAGCATTAACAAAGCATCAACAAACATCCAGCTGAACCACTAAACAAAAAAGTTTGAGTCTGCTGTCTTTCCTTCCTGCTACTGAATGAGGTGATTAATACCATAGATATAAAGTGAAGCAGATTTAATTACAAACAAAAAGGTTGTCATAAAATAGGAACTGCTATCATCTAGATCAGGGGTGCCAAATTTGCAACGTCACGTGACGTGTCGTGACATATGGCAACCTTTTTTTCCATCGCCAGTAATTGGGTGGGTGCGGTTTCAGCATGATGCATCCGGCCTGCGGGGTGGCAGTTTGATCTAGATAATAATGGATGACTATGAAAGCAGGAATCCCTTGAGACAAGTCAAACAGGGAGCCTCCAGCCAAGTGAATGGAATTAAAAATAAAACTAACAAAGTGAGTTGGGATGAGGTTGACGTGAGAGAAGGCTAAAAGTACTAATTTTATTGACCTGCATGGGAATGACTGTGATATGCTGGAGAATGGAACTGAAATGAATGCTGTGTTATTGTCCAAGAAAAGGAAACCATAACTGCTATAATAAGCATGTTGAAAGACAATAAGGATATACAGTGTTAACTGAGGACATGTTAACATAGGAACGTGCTTTCCTTATGGAGCATCTGTGCAACCTGTATAGCATGTATGTAAAGTGGGTTTCTTGTCCTATATTACAGTATTGGAAAAATATGGTCATTATATTCTTTCCCTATACAATAGGGAAATGTAGCAAAAATGAATTTTAAAACTCTATAGCTGGGTTAATCTGTTAACTATATCTCTAAACCAGTGGTTCTCAACCTTTTTAATGCCGCGACCCCCAACTGGTCATAAGTTGAGGACTACTCAACCGGTCCTAAGTCAAGGACTATTCAACTGGTGCAGCACCGTTTGCAGAATGGGCCTTTTGGCAGGCTCAGCAGGGCAGAGACAGCCTGGACAATTCCTGTTGGCTTTTGAAAGCCAATAGAATTAGATTCTATTCAAGAGAGTCTACTCTATTGGCTTTCAAAAGCCAATAGAATAAAAGGGAGTAGCACAGCTAAGGAAAAGGGGAAAAAAATGGCGGACTGTGTTGTTTGGCGACCCCTGTGAAATGGTCGTTCGACCCCAAATGGGGTCCCGACCCACAGGTTGAGAACCACTGCTCTAAACATACTTGGCAGATATTTTTAAAATTTAAGCTTTTAACAGATTTTTATAAAAATGAATGATAGTATAAGAAAAAAAAACCCACTACTGATAAAGCATGAAAAAGATATGGGTAATCCTCTACTTATGACCACAACTGGAACTTTCCATTGTTAAACAAGGTGTTCCTAAGTGAGTTGTGCAGGATTTTAGAACTTTTTTGCTAGTTGTAAAATGAATCACTATAGTTGTTAAATTAAGCATGCAATTGTTAAGCAAATCCAGCTCTCCCCATTCACTTAGCTTGTTGGAAGCCAAGTCATGTGTTGGTGATCATATGACTCTGGAATGCTGCAACTGTCGGTACATACATACATGCAGGTTGCCAAGTGCCCAAATTTTGATCACATCACTGGGGGGGGGGGATGCTGCAGTGGTCTTAACTGTGAGGACCAATCGTTAAGTGCCCTTGAATGGTTACTAAATCAATGGTTATAAGTTAAGGATTGCCTATACATTTTAGAAAAGCTCTATGTAGTATATAAGGAGTCATTCCTGCTTTAAGGTATTTGACATAATTTTGATTGACAGTTAGAGGAACTGACAGTGAACAGAAGTTGGGAAGTGCAACACAGCAAAAAATACAGATTTTTTGGTCTTCAGCAAGTCACTGAAAGATCTGAGAAAGTTTCTTGAACATCTGTTGATTTAAAGAAAGTTTTTGATAAAGTGAATACTGTATGTTTGAATACTGTATGTTTGAATTATTAAGTGTTTCGTAAGAATGTGGAGATTACATCTGATCGTTGAATAAGGTAAGTAAGTATGTTGGAAGTAAAGCATACGTGGGAAAAATGGAAGAAAGGACATACCTAATGGCTCAGCAGGGAGAAAAACAAGGTGTGCAATGGTCACTTGATTGTTTAATGTATTTATGGATAAACATGTAAATAATACTTGTGGTCATGTTGTTTGGGAATGTGAATATATACCTACTGCATTTTATGTGCTGGTGATGTTGTGTCGTTGACTAAGAATTCAAATTATTCAAAACAACTGTTACATTTACAATATCAGTGATTCCCAACCTTTTTAGCACCAGGGACCCATTTTGTGGAAGACAATTTTTTCACAAACTGTAGGGGGGGGGGGAAGGAGCACGCAACCTATATCCCTCACATGCACAGTTTACTGTGCGGCCCGGTTCCTAACAGACCACGGACCAGGACTGGTTGGTGGCCTGAGGGTTGGGAACCCCATATGATGAATCAAGGAGTGTGGATATGAAATTAATGTATCAAAAAATGACTACTTTGACATGGAGAACGTACTAATAAAGATTGAAATTCTTAAACATTATTCTGAACATCCTTTAGTCCTGTATTGCATATAAAGGGGACAACTTACTGTCTGGACACAAGTGTCCTGTAGAAATTGAACATTTTTTCAGTTAAACTGCAAAGATATATTATTGAGAAATTAGCTCTTACAATGATAACCATCTCTTGATTTGCATATGATATAAACTGGGTTAGTTAAGGTAGCACTGATTTTTATCACAGAATTGCAAAAGAACAAAAATTTTCCTTGGCCTACTGTATTTGAGACAATTTCCATGAGGTCGACAATTTTATATGAATTGGTAAAGGACTATTTCAGCATTAGCCCTGATGCATAAACCTAGAAAAATTTTTACTTAGATTCTCTGCAATAAAATATTGTACAAAGACAAGAAAGAATGAATGTATTGATAGTTTTGATAAAAAAAAACATTTTATGCTTGAAAAAAAATAATGGGAAACCAGTCAAATTCAGTTCTAAGAGCAGCTGATAATTTTTGTAGGCTATAACTACTTTTCCTTTACTTTCTTTAAATAGCCCCAAGAATATGGAATATAATTCTGCAACAATTAATTAGACATTTGCCCCCTGCAGTTGAATGAGAGGAGCAACTATTAAGTATTTTTATTTTTATAACTCCTAAATAAGATGACCATATTCTGACCTCTAAACAAGACAAAACAGGATAGAGGATATTCATAACAGCTGAAAGCTAAAATCCAATCATGTCTGAAAACCCCAATAATGGTATATACTAACAATGCTAAATCATTTTATGAAAGATAACCAGAAGAAACAATAACTGTATACAGATTTTTGCAACCCAATTAAACACGAATTTTCAAACATGCTCAGCTGGATTGCTATTCACTGACTAAACAAATGAATCAAAAAGTAAGAATACAGGAAGGAACGGAGCATTGAACCCTCCAGAACCCCATATAAGAGGGGCCTGGAGGACAATCTCTCTCCCTTTGCCAACACCAACTGGTACTGGTCATGAAGGAAAAGACGAGGATCACCATAAAATAATGGTTTCAATTGCCAACACAACCCCTAATTCCCAACTCCCACAGCCAATCCAGAAGGAGTCTGTGATCAATAGTATTGAAGGCTACTGAAAGATAAAGAAGTTTAAGTATGGATGTGTCACCTCCATCTGAATTGAATCCTAGCATGAAACCCAACTGAAAGATCTAAATATTTGCCTTGTATTGTACTAACAAATGGACCCAGAAATCAGACAACTGCAACATCCTATATGTACACTCTAAAAGCTGAAACAAACTCTTTAGAGAAGGGGTCCCCAACCCCCGGTCCCTGGGACCGGCACTTGTCCTAGGCATGCTAGAAACCAGGCCGCCCAAACAAGCGAAGCCCTATCTGCAGGATGCAGGCAGCACATGAAACCACGCCCCCTCTGGGCTGAGGAAAAACCTCTGTCCATGCAACCAGTCCCTGGTGCCCAAAACGTTGGGGGGGGGGCACTGCTTTAGAGAAATCCTGCTTGTCAGGAAATTGTTCACAATTCAAACACTAAAGCATTCTCCTGAAATCTTCACATCCCAACTGTATTAAGATGAATACTTTCTATAGCTGGTTTATGGGAAGAACAACACACATTTAATCTGCCAGAGGTCACTTTCAATGTCATAAATCAATAAGAAAGTATATGCATTTTGTTTTATCAAAAGGAAAGAATAAAATTCAATTTTTTGTTAACCAGAACATCAGCAACAGCAAAGTCTCCAGCAGGAAGAATCAATGTTCTTACTGCTTTTCCAAACTTGAAAGTTGAATTAAATACAGTAGCCTAGTAGTTTTCTAAGAGCAGGCTACCCAGACAGACAATGAAATATTTCAGTGCAATACAAAGTCAAGCAGCAGTTACATTCCATAGTTGTCTCCTGCACAGAAAATTCATGTATAACATGGATGACAAGTAAATATTAAATGAAATGGCCATATGGACAAGTAATGGAAGTACAAGTGCTTTTGCTATCTTAAGGGATTAGATGGGGAATTCTATGTCAGGAAAGCGATAGATGGAGCACAGTATATGCAGCTAAAATGCTTGGCTTAAGTTGTATTTTTTGCAGCAACAACACAAACTCAATTTTGAAAGATGCAGTTCTTATACCTCATATTTATGGTTTTATGAAACAAAAAGGCGGTCAAACTGAGAAGCTGTTAAATTCTAGGCCTGCCTTAGGCATGAAAACCAACTGGGTGACTTTGGGCCAGTCTTTCAGCCAAATCAGCTTACAAGACGGTTATTTTGTGGAAAATAGGAGACAGGGGTATTACTTACGTTACGGCAATGGTCTTCTACATTGCAATCCTTACTAAATCTTATCAAGAATCAAATTTTCTGGTAGAGGCTGAATGCCATTTTAGAGGAAAAGTGGGATGTATGTTTAATCATTGTATTAGTATTATTGCTTCTCTTTATCTAGTTTTAGATAAAGATAAATTTAGTTTTATCTAGCATTATCTAGTGGAAGATATTTACCTGACAATATTACTTATAACATTAGCTAAACCTGAGTAAACTGGGTTCTCATCCAACATAAATTGTTAATTTTTAATCATATATAACCTCTCTGACCTTGAATACATGACTGAAAAGCAGCTGGGGAATTTTGTTAATAGCTTAAATGAAGAAAAAGTGCCACCTCCACCCAATACCCAATAATGCTTTTTAACTGTCAGCAGTGTACAAGTCATATTCCAATACGGATTGGGAAAAGTGACATTGTTAGAAGTACACAAAATACAATCAGTTCCATAGATTGTGTGTTTTAATCACAAAAATTCTTTATACTACATTTTAAGTTACAGAACTCATAAATGTATAAAGCTTAAAAATAAAAGGATTATACTATTTCGAGTAAAACAGAGTCTAGAAACTAGTTCTTGTCTATTTCGCAAATCTGATATTAGAAAGCATTCCATAAGTGTGTACTTAGTTCCCCTTTAAGTAATAATTATAATTAGCTATATTATGGAAAGTAATCAATTGGAATATAATACATATTCTGATTAGTCATCAAATATATACCAAAACATTCACACATAAAATTCTACTGATGGCCAAGCTATCTTTACCTGTAAAATACGTTAACCTAGTTATGAAAAAAAACAAACCATCACCATCAAAAGATGACTAAACAAAAATACTTTACCTGCCTGTCTTCCTACATACTTCACAAGGCAACAATCCCATTTTAAATTAAATTATTATGCAAGGAAATGTCAATCTTCACTTCAGATAAATGCAGTAATTTGCATACCAGTATAGCATCAAAGCAGGGCTCTCTAAATTAAGCTTCCTAATCCTCATCCCATAATTCTGTGTTTTCGTTACAGTACATCTGTGTAATTACTGAATTAAAGTACTCTTATTAGCTTCATAGTACTATTATTGCTAATAATGTATGGCCTGAGCCAATCATAAGTGCCACTTATTCTAAACTGTAAATTTAACTAAGCATGCAGAAGACAACTTCCTATAATTATTCAGATGTTTTGGGGGCCGTATTGTTTGTTTCCTCTGCCTCAAAGACTCAAATACAACCTGCTCAACAGGACTGATTTCAGTGAGATTCACAGAATTTCCCACGATACATGACAAATATATTTTTATTAAGTAAAAGAAAACCAGAAAAGAAACTCTACATGACATGAATCACGGCTGGTGTTTTCATGATGTTACATCTACTGAAATGAGCTCCTAGCTGTTTGAATACAAATCAGCAACGAAAACTCTAGATGCTTTTGTGGGAGAATTTTGAGATAGATGACTTTATAAATGGTATAAAACTAAGGTAAAGGACTCCCCTATCCAGATTTTTTTTTTTTACTCGGGGGTGTGTGTGTATGCTTATCTCCATTTCTCAGCTGAGGAAGGCAGCGTTGTCCAGACATTTCCATGATCATGTGGCCAGCATGAATATATGCCAAGACACACAAAACACTGTTACCTTCCCACCAAAGTGGTACCTGTTTATCTTTATTTTATTTTAAAATAGAGTATGAACATACCATACAAATTTTATTTTATTTTAAAACAGGAAAAGAAAAAAAGTAAGGTTAGAACTACAGGCATCCCTTCATCCCTTCCCATTTCATTCCTAAACTATGTACAACATGTTAGGTATTCAAAGTTACTAGCAAATTTTTTGGGAGGAGTACAGATTTGCACACACAGGTCTCTCCGCCTGGCAGAATAACCACTATAACATGCTGGCTCAGTTTGTACAACATGGTACATTGGGTATTACTGAATTATTACATGAATGAAGGCAAATGTACATGTCCCAGGATAATGTTGCAGGATCCAGTCTGGGTCAGTCATGAGTTCGAAAGCTTGGAAGACTAAACCTCTGGTCCTGGTGACCGACCCTGATTGCATCCTGAATTATTACATTTTCTTGCTTTACACAATACACCCAGACATAAATTAACCAAACAGGCTAGAACTGCATAAAACATTATACCATAAAAAGTAAGGCAAGGTTGAAATTAATCAAATTTAGTACTTGCTGCAAATACACAGTACATAAGAGTTGAGAACTGAGGCCTTTGAACTATGGTGCTGGAGAAGACTCCTGCGAGTCCCTTGGACTGCAAGGCGTTCAAACCGGTCAGTCCTAGAAGAGATCAACCCTGACTGCTCTTTAGAAGGCCAGATCCTGAAGTTGAAACTCAAATACAAATACGTTGGCCTCCTAATGGGAAGGAAGGACTCACTGGAGAAGGGCCTAATGTTGGGAAAGATTGAGGGCAATAGAAGAAAAGGACAACAGAGAATGAGGTGGCTGGATTGAGTCACTGAAGCAGTAGGCGTGAACTTAAATGGACTCCAGAAGATAGTAGAGGATAGGAAGACCTGGAGGAACGTTGTCCATGGGGTCGCGATGGGTCGGACACGACTTTGGAATTAACAACCACCACAACAAAGAGTTTTAATTAATCTGATTAAATATGTGATCCAGCCAATGCCTTAATTGCAATAAATATCCTGCATCAAGAACCTCCTATATTATTAAGCTAAAACAGAAAAAGCACACATTTACCTGGTGTGTGTGTGTGTATACATGTATTTCAAGAAAATGCTGTACATTACTTCTCACCAGTTTTCTCAATTTTAGAGGGCAGTGGGCATGTGGAAACTTGATAAGTGTTGTTGTGCCTTGGAAAGTTCCTTGCAATGGATGGATGGCAAACTAATGAGGCTAAATGAAAAGTAAATTGCACAAATCCAATCTGCAGGCTTAATGTAACAAACTGACTTGTTGCCTGTCCAAAGTCCATGCAATGACAAAATCGAAATACATGATACTAAGTTAAAATAAATTACAATGTAATGCTATGGAGGCTTGGCAGCTTTAAAACAAGGAATGAAGACATTGTATAAAATGAAGAAATAGCTGTAATCTAGATTAGAAAAAAAAACAAAAAGACAAAAATGTAACAAAGGATAACTGAGTCATATTTATTTAGTACAGTGGTTCTCAACCTATGGGTGGGGACCCCATTTGGGGTCGAACGACCATTTCACGGGGGGTCACCAAACAACGCAGTCCACCATTTTTTTCCCCTTTTCCTTAGCTATGCTACTCCCTTTTATTCTACTGGCTTTTGAAAGCCCATAGAATAGACTCTCTTGAATAGAGTCTAATTCTATTGGCTTTCAAAAGCCAATAGGAATTGTCCATGCTGTCTCTGCCCTGCTGAGCCCGCCAAAAGTCCCATTCTGCAAATGGTGCTGCACCAGTTGAGTAGTCCTCGACTTATGACTGGTTGGGGGTCGTGGCATTAAAAAGGTAAGAACCACTGATTTAATAGGACACTTCTTGACAGTCAGCCAATATCGAGTGTTTAACAAATATCAATTTTCACCCAAATAACATGACGTCCCTTAATTTTTAAACTCTGTAGTTATATACACTGAAGTAGAAATGCCTCTTTTAAAAAGACAGGCACACAAAGTTGCACACTTTTGAGCAAATGTTCTTTAAAGTTAAACAACTGTTCAGCAATCTAATTTGTAAAGCTTATGCAATCAAAAAGTCAACAAGCTTTTTTGTGAACTTTGAGGCTTCAATATTGTTGCTGACAAAGTGTTCTTTAACATTGCTCACTAGTGATATCTTTCTAAGTGACATCTTAGCAAGATACTAAGTAAGATCAGTAAGCAAAGGTTGTATTTTAATGCAGCACTTTGTGAATGCAGGTTATTTAATTTAATATCTCTCAAACAAAAGACACAAAGAAATATATGTATAATATACACTTCAGCTATATGACTGGATAATTGCATCAGCGATAGAGAAAATAGGCTTTATTCTCAAATTATACAACTATGGAGATTGAACTGGCTTACGGTTTGGTATTCATTACATTAAACAGCTCCTCATCCTATTTGAGTTTCTTCTTATCTGGCCATCATCAATCTATAACACATGAGCAATCACAACCAAGAGCAATCAGTAGTGTAGGTAGAGAAGTATTCTGCTTCTAAATTAGAAATCAATATATGTGCACTAAAATTACTAGTAACTCCAATCATCTGGTTTGAAAATTGCTTTTAAAACCAGGCCTAGTAGTCAAGGATTATGATTAGTTTCTTTCAGATACTTTCACTGAACAAACCAAAAAGTAATCAGTGAAGTTGAAGCATTTCCTATGTAGTAGAAATAAAGTGGAGAAAAAGTAGATTTTACATTTGTCAATAAGCAAGAAGCAATTTACCACCTGGAAATAAATTTTAAGCAGAAAATTGTATTCAATCTGTTAACTCCACAGGTAGCAAAGTGTTTATTTTATGACTCCTTTTACAAGAAAAAAGTACAAGGGTTTCAATATGGCAACAGTTAACTTAATAAACAGCCAAATGAAATTCCCCAATGTATCTTTAAATAAGTGGATAAGAAATAGTAAAAAAAAAAAAAAAAGGTTTCATAAATTTGAAATGAAAACAGTTTACTTTATCACTTGGTATGGTACATGTATTTTGGCCTAGCTTATTCATCATTAATCCTTTCTAATACGTTATTTATTCAATTAACATTTTAAATTTCACATGCTGCAGATCTCTTTAAAATCTTTTCTGGAATACAATCATTTTTAACATTATTCATAGAGCAGGTGGTTATCAACAGTATTCTACCCAAACCAGTTATGCAATGTTCCTATACAAATAGTCTAACTGGAAAGCTTTTTGAAGATGACATATATTCAACCTAAAATTTTCAGCTGTTAAATACACAAAACATATGGAACAGAGTATTAAATAAATGTGAAAAAAGATGGGATACAAGTCAGTATTCCAATGAAATATGCAGTGTACCAGGTGTACACCTTAATATGCAATGTAATATGTAAATTATATCTGTTTACCTAGAACAGTGGTTCTCAACCTTTCTAATGCCGTGACCCCATAATACAGTTCCCCATGTTGTGGTGACCCACAAGTGGGTGTGGCCACCAATAAGAGGGAGTAGGACAGCTAGGGAAAAGGGAAAAAAATGGCAGACAGCGTGGTTTGGTGACCCCCATGAAATGGTCGTTTAACCCCAAATGGGGTCCCGACCCACAGGTTGAGAACCACTGACCTAGAAGCTGCCTACAGCATATCCTGAACTGATACCCATTGTTTATAAACGAGTCTGAAGTTTTAGCTCAAACATGGCAGGTGAAAATTGTTATAAATGCTTCTCTGTACAAACATAATTCTAAGGAGAAAAAGGGAATCAGGATAGATCCTCTCTTTAGATTTTTCATTTTCTCTCTGGATAGTTATTTGATTTTCTTTAAGCATAGGAATATTCATGTATGTCTGTTCTTACCTATAATCATACACAGTGCAATGATATATATCACCTTAATTAGAATTATGTTTTTCAAAACAAAATAATCACTTGACTTAATGACTTTCCAGAAGTTGTGAATACTCCAACACTGGAAGTTTTTAAGAAGAGACTGGACAACCATTTGTCTGAAATAGTACAGGGTTTCCTGCCTGAGCAAGGGGTTGGACTAGAAGACCTCAAAGGTCCCCTCCAACTCTATTATTGTTGTTATTGTTACATAGGCAAATACATGACAAAATAGTATACTACCAGCAGCAAGAAATTCTTTCTCAGCTCCTTGAAGAAAGACAGGATACAATTTAATGAAACATAGTATAAAACCTAGATACAGCTTATGATTAAAGACTTCTAACATAGTACCTCAAAGCTAATACTGAATTCTTTTCCAGATTTTCTACTTTAAAAGCCATGGGCAGAGTTCAGTAACTCCAAATTGCACCCAAGCACTGTTGTTTATAAGCTAGCATACTGAATATTTTTATTTTTTTATACTGGAAATGCGAGTGTGTATTTAAAAACACCCACTCCTATTAAGAGCTAGTTTAAGGTAGTGGCACCTGGCTAGCAACTGGGAGACCGTGAATTCTAGTTCCACCTTAGGCATGAAGCCAGCCAGATAACCTTGAGACAGTCACTATCTCTCAGGTATGGAAAGAAGAAAGCAATGGTCAACCACTTCTGAAAATATCACCAAGAAAACTGCAGGGACTTGTCCAGGCAGCCACCAGTAATCGAAGTCACACACACTATTATGTGCCTCTGTATCCTCCCTTCCTGTTTGCCCTTTACTCAATCTTTATCACTTTCCTTTTGGTATCCCCAATGATAGAAAAACAGAAACTAAGGAAGTAAAAACATCTAATTTACTACTTCCAAGATTTCCATCAGTTTCAGTCAAAAATTACTTGCCTAGGATTATACTGTAAAGGAAGAATTATGGAGCTGATAGATTTCGCAATCCTGACCTACTTCCACTGAAGCTGATGGAACATTCAAAGGTGCTTTGATCTTTATCATATAGAGTGCTGTTGTTTGATAATAATTACAGTCTTCCTTTTTATCAGTTCTTAGTGGTTCTGATAGAAATTAAACCTCACATAGTTCAGTGGGGCTTACTGCTCCAAATGTAAAAAATTAATTGTACTGAAGGATCAGCTGGGTTGAGAGTCATCATGTATGATATGCCTCTGAAAAAAGTAGTATTTTAAATTTGGGGTAAATATATACAATTATGTACCATCAAGTCATTTTCAACTTCTATCAACCTCATATTTTCTCTTCATGATAAAGATACATAGCTAATATTTATAAACATTGCACATATTGATAAGACATGCCTTTCTTCAGTCTCAGGCAAATGATTAAATAGTCAAGTGCTGATATCAAACCTGGTTCATAACTCAATTCATTATTAAACCAAGTTAAAAAAAATTTTAATATTTACTAGTACACGCACAAAATATTTCAGTTGAGATTACTCAAATCATTCATATTACTTCTTGTCTTTTGCCACTAAAGTTACCCAAGATGTAACAAAGTATCTTGACAGCCCTTGTACTGCAAATCCTGGAACACTTTAACCCCCAAATGCTTACAAGCTTCAAATTACCCTATTGCTAATTAAGTGGGTTTCATATAGTGTTGCTCCTGCAAATGTATTGAAGCCTGCCATTTTTCCATGCAGTATTTCATCCAAGACTATAAAGTTGTTTACAAATATAACTAGTTGCTGTTCCTTCAAGGGCCGTCATTTTACCAAAAACATAATGAATGGTAAAATACCTCTTACAGCATTCACCTGCAATAATTCCTATTACATTTTATGTTTAATATCCAATGTTTAGTGATGTAAACCTACCAAAAGACTATTATAGCCTTTATTACTCTAAAGAGAAAGATTGAGGGGGGGGGGTATAAATAAACTGTTGATTCTCCGGTTTTTATTGCCACAACGTCCAAAAAGGACAGACCGGAGCAGGCACACAAACATGCATCCCATAACCAGCCTGACAGCCTCCCAAGAGTTACCTTCTGCCACACTTGATGGTAAAAATAAAAATAGCAACTACTTATTTGAAAGGAGGATCTTTAGTTTTTGTTTGCGTTTTCCTCTTTTTTAACTGGCTATTTCTCAATTCCCCGCTCAGGTTAGAAACGCCAAGGCTAGGCAGGTGGCTGAACACCTGGCTATAAGACTCAGAGGGGATCAAGAAATGAAACAGCTTCCAGCTAGTTGAAAATGTGGGACGGTGTGGAACATTTTAAAATAATCATATTAATAGCTAAAATTAAAAACACACAAACTGTCTCTCGAGGGGCCCGAAAAGGGAAGAAAATCCTTATCGCCGCAGATGCTGAGACGGGCACGGGAGAAGCTCCTCGCCAAGGTCAGCAGCCGCCCGAGAGAAGAAGCGCCGGTGGAAGAGAACCCGGGCAGCCCACGGGCGCCAGTCCCCGGGCCGACGGGCCTACGACTGCGCCCCACGAAGTGACGGGGGGGGACCCTTGGTGACCCAGGCCTAATGACCAGAGCCCCACCGCCCTCGGGACCGAACCCCGCATCTCTCGTCTCCCGCTGCCGCCTTACCAGACGCCTTCTTGCTCCGGTGTCCCGATGCTGAGGGGGTCGGAGGGAGGGAGGGAGGCCCCACGGTGCCGCCGGCGCCTCCGGGAATCCCGCCCCCTCCGCCGCTCCACTCCGCCTCTCAGTTTTCCGTTGCTCTTTGCCCTATAGAATCATCATCGCAAGAGGCGCCGCGAGCCAATCAGAGGCCGCCTTGGCCGCGAAAGTCGCCGTTTTCGGCGACGCCAATCGACGTGAAGGAAAAAAGGGGGGGGGCTCTCGCTCGGCCCAATGCACTCTGGGCAATGTAGTCAATGGGAGGCACGTGATTAGGGTCGGAGCGTGAACCGAAGGGCTCTAAGAAAATCGCTATGGGATGAGGGGGGGGAGAATGAGGGCAAAGTGGCTGGTGAGAACTCCAAGTTCAGTTTCATTTAGTGAAGTTTGGAGTGTTTTAAAATATAAGGAAGAAATGGCAAGTATTCAGGTTGGGCTACCGGCACCGGTGTCCTAGTCACATGGTTAGGATTTGCTCGCTCCTGAGTAAATAAGCCTAAGGTACTAATAGAAGAGAATATATGTAGCTCAGTGCTCTCCGAACTTGGTTGTTTGCCTGCTGTTGTTTACTTACCCAGCTAGATAACATAATCAGTACTAATCAGTAATGAAAAGTCTGCAAACAAACAACCAAGCTCGCCGAACACCGAGGACTCCACAAGCCTAAAGTGGCTGCAGTGGTAATTGCAACTGAAATTGCTTCCTGATGTGTGAGCAACCCTGCCTGAAACTGTACTCGCAGAAGCCTATCTTCGCTTTTCCTATATTAAGCTAACTTCAAAGGTTTAGTAAATAGGATGCATCAAACCTCCCAGTACTGCCTGGCATGTAATTTATACCACTTCCTGTTTTAAACAACAGGGAAGCTCCTTATCCAGGATGGTTATAATTACTGTGATATTTTCTTGAAAAGGACATACCTGAAAAAAGGGGCAAGTCTGAAAGAAGTTAAGGATAAAAACATGTAAATTATGTTCATAACTACAAAGAAAAATTCAAGAGCAAAACCAAGGAAAACTTTATAAAAACATTATAAAAACATAAAAAGCTATAAAGCAAGTATTAAAAGTATGTACTAGGTCAGCAGTTCGCAACCTATGGGTCGCGACCCCATTTGGGGTCAATCGACCATTTCACGGGAGTCGCCAAGGAAGGCTGTCCACCATTTTTTTCCCCTTTTCCGGCGGGTGCCTTACCTCCCTTGGGCTGGGCCAGCTGGTGGCCCAGCCGGTGGTCGGCCTGCTCGGTCTCTGCCGCTTGCCAGCTACGCCTCGGCTGGCGCAGGGGGCGGCACTCCCGGGCAGGGAAAGTCCTCGACTTACGACCGGTTGGGTAGTCCTTGACTTACGACCGGTTTAGTCCTTGACTTATGACCGGTTGGGGGGTTGCGGCATTAAAAAGGTTGAGAACCACTGTACTAGGTCTAGGATAATGTATGAAATACTTAAAAGTATTAAATATTAAGGAATTATATATGGTAAAAAATGATCAAAATAAAGAACAAAAGTGAGTTTCTTTTAAACAAATTGAATCCTATCTTCTAATTGTATGTGTAATTATGGGATAACAAAAAAGTAATGCTGATATTCATATAGTAATATAGACAACACAATACCTCTTGTGTCAGTTGATCACACTAATAGTTTGCATTATTAATGGAGAGACACTGGATAGCCAGGTGTTAAATTACAACTGCAATACCCCTCATCATTGGCCATAGTGAGCAATGCTGTTGGGAGTTTTAGATCAGTCTCTCTCCTCTCCCCTCTTAAATGCATAGGCTCTGGTCTTATTAATCTTGAGTGCTAAGTATATAATAAAGGCCACAGTGGTTCATAACATCTTCCTTCTTGGTACATTTTGTTTCTCACAGTAGCTTCTGGGGTGTTTGAAGTAGAGATGGAGACAAACATAAAAATTGTTCGTTCCTTTTGGAATAATCTCTCACGTGACATTTCATCATTTTTTCCCATCATCCTCAATACAATTCACAAATCTTTTGCTTGGTCACAAGATTGTTCAGTTAATAACCAGTAGAATTTTGTATTACATCAGGGATTCTAAAAAAAACAAAGGACCCTGTTCCAACAACTTTCACTGCAAAGGTTTTTTTTAAAAAGCAGTAGAAACATTCCTGTTGCTGTATATAACATCCAAAATAAAAATGAAGTAAAAATGCATTCAAGGCTAATGTTACTGCTCAAAGAACTCAAGTCATTAGTAAAGCAACAATGGCTATAATAGTGTAGCAGCAATAAGATCAAAGGATTCCATCTTATTATCTGGAACATTTCAGATTCTTGAGAATGCCAGCTGCTTGGAACATGTTATGAGTCAATTCTGAACACGTATAGTAGTTAAGGCAGCCTTCTTAATCTGGATGTCCTCTAGATGTGTGAATTTCAATTCCCAGTATTCTTAGTAATTGCCATAGTGGCTGGAAAGACTGAGATGGGATTGCTGCGTCAGGATTAAAATTCGTCACAACAATGGCTTATGTAGAATAAAACAGAAGCAAAAACAAGCATCCTTGTTTTCAAAGCAGTGTATGGAATGGCATAATAAACTGTTCATGCAAACTGGCAGAGCAGGTTCATGAAACAGCTGAATTCATTGATTTGCAATCAAGAATAATTATACCTGCCAAGCTATACTTGAACATCCACAACTATCTCTCTGCCAAATTTTGGAAATTACCACTACTTTTAAGTTATGGATTTCCTGCAGTTTACAGCAGCTTTTCCCTCCATCCTATTCCAGTAACAAATTCACTAATTTATTGTAAATAAACAGAAGAGCCAGACAATTGGCATAAGAATCCAAATCAGATATACTTTAAATCATTTCTTAATATTTAAATAGAAAGAAACATGGCTTCACAGTAGCCTTTCATCTTTATGACATCTGTTCAGTTTCTTCTATGGTCAATTTTTATTATATGCAGCCCAGAATCATGCTAGTGAGAAGAGAGCTATATAAAGGTGATGAATAAATAAAATGTATTTTTGTGACCTTGTTTGGATCGATCATACCTCTTCATAACTACCTTCTCCTCTATGACATGTTTTCTTATATACCAGTATCATCCATACTTTGCTGCCTGTTAAAATTTCTTTTTTATATAGTAAGTTTATTAAATCTTTAACAGAAACTAAAAATTAAACTGAAGAAATGGGAAGGAAGGATCAAAAAATTACTTCCAATTTTTTTTAAAACCAGTATAACTCCAAATTTAAATTGATCTCTTACGCTAAGGTTACAACATAACTTTCATTTTTTTCTATCATTTACAGCACTATTTTTTCTAATCTTGAATATCATAATTTCATTTTTTCTACTTCACTCCAAAAGTGGAAAAGGGGTTTCCAGACAGCATTAAAATCAATCTTTTCTGTAACCAAAGCTGTCAAATTAGCCATTTCAGCAAGCTCCATCACTGTCATCATCCACTCTGGGCAATATCAAATCTTTTCATTATTGTGCATATAAAAGTCTTGTTGCTTCCTGCTAAAAGTTCAATACAACCTGCCCTCTTGCTTGTTACCATTATCACTATTATTTTAATTATAGATTTGCAGGATGTTTCATAGGTTGTGATTAAATCCTGTATGTTTCTACTGTACTCAAAAGGAAGTATCAACTGGTTCAGTGCTGCAATTCTCAGGAAAGTGTCAATCAAATTGCAACCCTGTAAATTCAGTATCTAGAATATCTGGAAAATTTGGATGCCAATACTTGCTCAGTTCTGATTCACTGGATGATCTGGTAGTTTACCTTATCAAATTGCTTTAAACTTTAATGTTGCTCATTTCTTATGGGGCAGGATAAAAAATATAAGTATATTTCAAAGGAAAATGATATTTTTGAAGGATTGTTAAAAATTCTTAAAAATCATGGAATGTTTCCCTCGTTTTCTATTAAGAATGACAAGACTTGACTTTATATAAATCTTCCTATTTTTATTGACTGTAGTAAGACTTCCTTTCCCAAGTACAATTGTCTTTTAATCCATGAAATATCCCTTAGTAACATTTCAACATTTTTTTTAAATTCTAAAACTTGTTTTTAGTAAAAAAAAAAAAAAAACCTAGATTTTGTGAGAGTTGGGAGAATAAATACGATCATTTGATTAAAAAAATATAAATACAAATTATTTTCTGTTGTTTATAAAGAAGCATATTCCAATCATGTGTAGCTCATATCCTTTATGGGATTTGGGGATTATTCAAATTCCTGTTTTGTTTTTCAGAGATCTGTATCATCTTCCCATTTTTTCCATGGGTGGAAAACAGTTTTCCTTGCTCTGAATTATGTACATAATATATAATTCAGTATTCAGTGTTGTCTTGGGACTTTATCTAAAACATCATAAATCCAGCGTATGTGGTGCATTCCTATAACTTTCTTTCTGAAGTACTACAAAATGCAATAATTTATTTAAAATATTGGCAAAAAAATTAAACTATAAAGCATATTCCCATAAACTCTTTCTCTTCTAAATTCTGTATCTGCCAAGCCTTCCAGAAAAGTGTTATTGAGATCTTTCATAGCAGACATTCAAAGAAATTATAAAAAGCAGGACACAAAAATAATTTGTAAAATCCAGCAGTAAGATATTATTTTCTTATATCATTTTTAATTCATACCGAGGTATTTTTTTAAACTGTTCCAAATAATAAAAATATGGTCAGTAAACATTTATAATTTTTATATTTATTCTTTTTCTTATTCCTGCCCAGTTAGAAATTGTCTTTGCTGGTACCGAAAAAAAATCCATCCATAATTCACTAGAAAGAAAGCAAGAAAATTGTCATTATAATATTCATGAACTTACATTCAGTACAAGGTGACTTTGAGAAAAAGTAGATCTGCGTGCGTTTGTATATCTCTGTATCTTTTAACTGTATTTATAGGCATATTTGTGCATTATGCAACAATGCAGACATAACATGTGAAATCATTACCCCACTGCTTTGCAGATCAACAAGATTAAATATGGGGCAGGATGGGGAAGATTGCCATTTCCCCTATTTCTGCTGTGAAGGATTTCTTAATTCATCTTTGGTCCAGTTCAGCCACATCTCCTTTGACCTTTTTTGACTGTGGCGATTATGGCACTGGGAAGGCCACATTGAGACTGATGGGAGGGGGGATTGTCAATGGGGTTTTCAAGGCTAGATTCCCTCCTCCCATTTCAGAGCTCTCTCTGATTAGTTCTATGGCCTCTGCTATTGAAATCTCAAAGGAAGTCCAGGACAATTTCATGCATAGTACCATTAGCTTGAGTTTGGTCTAGTGCAGGGTTCTCCAAACTTGGCAACTTTAAGACTTGTGGACCTCAGCTCCCAGAATTCCTCAGCCAACCATTCTGGGTAATTTTGGGAGTTGAAGTCCACAAGTCTTAAAGTTCCAAGTTTGGAGACTCCTGGTCTAGTGGTTAAGGCACCAGGCTCAAAACCAAGAGACTCTGAATTCTATTCCCTTCTTTAGGCATGAAAGCCAGCTGGATGCCTTTGGGCCAGTCATTCTCTGTCAGCCCAATCTACTTCGCAAGGTTATTGCTATGGAGAAAATAGGAGAAGAAAGTAGTATTAGGTATTTTTGCCATCTTGAATTATTTAAAAAGTAATAAAGGTAGGATATAAATCAATAAATAAACAATAATCACCTACATAAGACCATAGAAAGCTGCCTTATAGATGAGATTATTTGTCCATCAAGACCTGTATCATCTGATGGGCAACCGTGTTTTCTGCATTACTTGATCCTGTCACCTGACTTTCTAGCCAATGTGTGGGCCTGAGAAAATTGAGTAATCTTTTTTCTGAAATTTCTATTTCTGTGTCACAGAATGAGTAACAATTGTTTATTTATCTTTTAATTTCATTTGAAAGGTGAAGGCAGAGTATATTTCTCCATCTTGTTTTTTTCTCACAACGGTGCTGTGAGGTAGATTTGTGTGTGTTTGTATGTGTGTGTGCCAGATTATTTCTACGGGCGTGAATCTTTCAAATGAAATAAATTTCACTCTGTATCAACAGATAAGTCATGACCTCATGCCGTAAACTGACACTCATAATTTGCACTATGAAAATGATTTAAATAGTTTCATACTAACAGGTTTGGAAAATAGGAAATGATTGCAATACTGGAATATTCCAGTCATCCAGGGATCAGGAAGCACAGAATAGCTTAATGGCATTGTTATTCATTACTAGAAATGAATATATACTTTAAAAGTTAAAGTTTCCTTGCATGGCAAGAACGGGCTTCTCATCCTGAAATACATTAAAACAGCAGTTCTCAACCTATGGGTCGCGACCCCATGTGGGGTCGATCGACTATTTCATGGGGTCGCCAAGCAAGGCTGTCCACCATTTTTTTCCCCTTTTCCAGCGGGTGGTCGGCCTGCTCCGTCTCTGCTGCTTGCCAGCTATGTCTCGGCCGGCGCAGGGGGCGGCACCACGCATGTGCGGTGCTCCCGGGCAGGGAAAGTCCTTGACTTATGACCGGTTAGGTAGTCCTCGACTTACGACCAGTTTAGTCCTCGACTTACGATCGGTTGGGGGTCATGGCATTAAAAAGGTTGAGAACCACTGCATTAAAATGAGAGATGTGCGTGTAACGCATTAGCAGCAACAGATAATAAATATACTCACAAAAACAAGGGAGAGGGCAACAACAGGGGATATTTAATATTAAAAAGTAACTGTACATCTTGGATACTGGAAAAAAGAACTCTCCTATGGCTATTCAAATTCACATCCACGTAAAGCCTGGCGTGCTTGTAGAATTTCACATACATCTGTCTTTTTTAAGTTCAAAGGCACTTAGGCAGAATACAGTCTCTTCTCCATCCAGTTCGCATAGGCACAGGAGGCACCCCGCCGACAGCTCTTTTTCTACAAGCAAAAACCAGATCAATCAACTGAAGAAAATCATCCCACTTTGACAGCGTGGCTTTTTTTTCAGAGCTTTAGAGAATTCTATCTTCAAACCTGGTTCCCGCCCACCCGATTCCACAAAAGGGAGAAGAAACAGATGCAAAGGGTTTGTTTTCATGAGACCAGGATGCAGCAGCACATTTCAGGTCAAAGGTAAAGGTTTTTCTTCCAACCTCTGATGAAGAATCAAGGCCCTTATGTGACAGTTTTGCATGGATTCTGTCTTGGAAATTGGTCTTCAGCATTGAAATTGACATTTTTTTTTATTTTTTTTTTTTTTTTTTGCAGTCTGGCATCCCATTGTGTATTGTTAAGCAAAGAGAACTGCTTCATGTCCTTTTGGAAATTCATCTGAGCTTCCGAAGCGCTTTCTCTGGCTGTGCCTTCAAGACACATGTAATTCTTTGAATTTCAGCTATCAAGTAACAGAAGGAACATTCACCACCATCACCACCACCACCGTTCTCACTGTTTCCGTGGCAAAGCATCTGGAGCCAGCCCCATACCTCAAGTTTCTCATTTATTCTGGCTGAATCGTTTCAAGAGTTGCAGGGAACAAGTACAGAAATCCCATCCCTGGTCTTTTTTTTTCCTTGCTCCATGACTAAATAATTTAAAAAGGAGCAGCCCGACCCATCACTTGTTTAAGTGGAAGCATTTTAGTCTCTTAAATAAGCTTCTTTAATTATAATTATTACATCATCATCAACATCAACATCAATTTATTTATAGAAATATATATAAAATAGATTTATATAGTTTTATATCATATAGATTTGTAGCTCTCGCTGGCCTTTCATTTACAGACATACTGGTCGACAATCTCTGTGCACTTTTTACACTTAACGTAACAGCACCAATGAAACTTGCAGTGGCAACGTTCTACTTGCACACTCTTGAACTGGTCATAGCCCCGGCCACAACACATCAGCTCGCATCCATCCATGCCCTCTGAAGTCTTATTACACAACCGCCCCTGTGTGCCCAGGGAGCCCGTGGTCTCATTACGCAGGCAATAGTCCGGACTGGAGTCAATGTAGACCAGGTCCTCAGGGGTGGGCGAATTGAAGCGGTTGTTCACTAGCTCAAGCTTGCCTTTGCGGCCGATTCTCATGGCGGCAGCACTGTCATATTTCTCCTTCAGAAAGTCCCCCACTTTGCGGAAGTCAGCCAGCTGCAGCCAGCATGTCTTGAGGCTGCAGGACCCTGAGACTCCATGACACTTGCAAGCCACATCAGCCAGCTTGTACACCGCCTGTGGAAGAGAAAACCCATTGTGTCAATGCAACAGCTAACAGCAGGATGACCTAATCAGATAGTACATTTACTGATGCAGGAATCACTTCCACTGTGCTGAGTGGATGAGTGTAGAAAATACTTCAGCCTTTCTTAAATATATTTTTATGATTTTAGAGCTCATCCTTTATTTCCCTCTAAACTGCTCAGAGACGTATATGCAGCTTCTTCTGTTTAATTTATACATTTCTCTACAGAATGTAGGTTGGGGCACTCTCATTTTCTTCAACAGTTGCATGCTTATACAGGATTTTTTAAAATTTGGCCATTAAAAAGCCACTGTCAACACTGCTAACATTGGTTGTTCTTGCTTTGACAACATATGGAGATGCAGCCTTTTTCTTTCTTACACTTTACTCTTAGAATTAGATGATACTGGGGGAGGGGAAGAAATGTGATGGGAGTTAGTTAGACATACAATATTGTAATAAGAGCTGATAAGGCTTGGCTGGATAAAGAACTGGGCAGAAAGCCAGCATTTCAAACTAATTGGAGAATGTGATTTATGACTGCTAGTTGTAGGAGGGAATTGTGCTTTGATCTATGTGCTGAAAGGAGGGGAAGTCAGATTTTGGCTTCGACTATGTACCTGCTGAAGCTATGCTGCTTGAATAAAGGTTCTTTAAGGTAAACAATGCCTCAAAGTTCTTTGAAGTGTTTCATCTTTCGGAACCATGACAGCCACAGAGCAAGCCAAAGGCCAAATGTGTCCTTAGAGCTGCAAATTGCTTGCTTTAATATACAGGCTATTCTCTGGGTAGTTGTGTTGAGAGGGAATGCAGATATCCTTGACTTACGTTGCTTAGCTACCAGTCAAAGTTCTGATGGACCTATAGTGGGGAGGCTGTAGCTCCATCATACAACCAGAATTCGAAGTTCTCATGGTCCGGTGGAACATCCCTCCCCCCATGATTTGCAGCATCCTGTGGTCACGTGACCATATTTTATAATGGTTTTGCCAAAACTGGCATATATTTCCATTTATTATGGAAAAATTTTTATCCATTATACAGACTCAGTCCCTTATGGCAAAACCCTAAATTGCCTTTCAGTACTTATGCTCTGGTGAAGAGTGCTAAGCATCTGTTTTGAGGCCCAGAGTAATTTGGAGGTAATCAGTTCTGGGACAGAATTGTTCTAGAAACAGGATAGGACTTCTGCTTCTCAAGGAAGAGTCCTTTTTGGTTTCTTGTTCTTAATAAATTCAGTGTTTCTCTAGCAAGAAATATCAGCTACAGCAGTGGTTCTCAACCTGTGGGTCGGGACCCCATTTGGGGTCGAACGACCATTTCAATGGGGTCGCCAAACAACGCAGTCCGCCATTTTCCCCCGTTTTCCTTAGCTGTGCTACTCCCTTTTATTCTATTGGCTTTTGAAAGCCAATAGAATAGACTCTCTTGAATAGAGTCTAATTCTATTGGCTTTCAAAAGCCAATAGGAATTGTCCAGGCTGTCTCTGCCCTGCTGAGCCCGCCAAAAGTCCCATTTTGCAAACGGTGCTGCACCAGTTGAGTAGTCCTCGACTTACGACCTGTTGGGGGTCGCGGCATTAAAAAGGTTGAGAACCACTGAGCTACAGAGTTTTATTAGAGGAGTACTGCGATGACCTTGGAAAAAGTACACTTAGATTATTAGTAAAATATGAGCTCAGCCCTGGAAAACAAGGAAGCACAATACTGCCCCCTCCTTGACTCTCTCTGATATAAGATAATGATCTTGGTAGACAGGAGAAGAGTCACAATATAGACAACAGTCATGCAAAAGATATGTTGGACAAAAGAAGAAAAAGGAGCGTGGGAACAGTGTCAAAAGGGACCCACCTTAGTTTTTTGTAAAGTAAAAAATAAGAGAGGGGAGAGTTACTTTCAAACCCAGTAATAAGATTCTGTTACTTATCCTTACAACAAAACTCATGGTTTGGACTTCTCGTCTGGACTATTTTAAAAGGCAGACAGTTTCTTATGATATCTGTTCTTGATCTCAGAGGATTGACAGTTTTTGAGACTCTTGATCAAGACGTCTACAGTGCAACCCAACCATGAAGGACTCTTTCCATTGTTTTGACAATCTGTTTCTATACTCTCTGACTCTGGGCCCAAACCTCACCATTGTCCAAACTGATCAGCATCTGAAATGAAACTCTGTGAGGAATTTCAACATTATTTTTTGTACTTCATGTTCGCCCTTCCACATGCATTTTATAGGAAATAAGCAGAATTCAGGCTGAATCATCCTGCCTTTATGGCAAGTTCTAATTCTGAGTTTGAAGTGTACAATTGTAATCAGCATTATTGTAGAGAAGGCAATTTGCATCTTGTTCGCCACCTGGTGGCCAATCAATTCTCTTTCCCATTATTACTTTGTAAGAGGACTGTTCAACCTTGGCAACTTTAAGACTTGTGGACTTCAATTCCCAGAATTCCCTAGCCAGTATTTATTCCTTCCAGGAATTCTGGGAGTTGAAGTCCACAAGTCTTAACATTGCCAAGGTTGGACACCCCTGCTTTATTACATAATAAGAAATATTTGGAATAAAACATGCACCTAAAAATGTTATGTATGAATCAGATAAATATCTATTTAGAAATATAGGTATAGGTATTCAGAGGCATGGTCGACAAAGCTGAAGCTGCCTATAGCTTATTATCAAATAATAGATTTATTGTTATAAAATGTATTTTTTTATTTATTGCTGCAATCATTTCAATGCTTGGGCTTATTAAATGTGTGGGATACTTGTGACATATGTATATTGAAAGTTAACCCGATAATAAGCAATTCAACATCTGGGGAAAAAACACTGATGAAGTTAGAAAGCTTTCTTTACATTTTGTATGTAAATATCAACACACAAAACCCCTAATTACACACACTGTATTGAAATGCCCCTTTCTTGTGTTGTGCATGGCAAAAACTATACTTAGACTGAAAATGTTTTGGTAGTGGCATGTTTACAGATGATGTAAACATGCTACAAATTATTACAAAATGTTCTTTAGCATAGAAGATGAACTGAATGCATAGACAAGTTAGTTGTCAGAAGGAATGTGGTGTAAAAGTCTTATTGAAGCTAAGCAGAAAAGGATCTGATTAATGTCTGTGCAGAAAATTCCCAGAGAATCTTATAAAGTTATGACAGACTTCTCGGGACTTCTTAAGACCTGGTTCCAAACTTCCAAGAGCTGTTCCTCCCTTTTAGTCACATGACCACGTGTTGTGTGCATGACAACCAGCTCACACTCATGGCCATTTGTAGTGTCCTGCAGACATGTGTGACCATGTTTTATGACATTTTTACTTTTGGTTTCTGGCAAAAAAACCCAGCCCATAGTGAACAATGACTTCATTTAACATTACCATATTCACTATTGTAAAATAGGGCCCGTTATATGGGTGACCTGCTTTACAACTATTACAACTTAACATCATAATGGGCAGGCACTATTACAGTCGTAAACTAAGGACTACATGTACGTACGTTGTCCTAAGTATATCAGGAAAGGTAAGACTTATATCTTACCATAAATTACAATGGTAATGATTTTAAACTTATTTACCAAGCTAATATCTGCTACAGCATCTCCAAGAAATACAACACATTAAACACTGGTTTTACTACCCTGGCCACAAGAGCTGAATATAAAATTATATGAATTAGTTCCCTGACATCTCTTAAATAATATTCAAATCTGACAGGAGTGTTTCTGGTGAATTGTTGCTTATCTTAGAAAACTGGAAGCTGAAGAAAATCCGTATGCCTCATTCTAGGCATTCATTTGAAAAAGAAATCCATGCTTCAATTTTAGTCAAGAAGGTGACATTGGTCCAAATCTGAGCAAACACAGCAATATCTTTTTAAAACCACTTCAAGAGGGAAAATTGACTTGACTTCCTAATCAGGAATATACTGAATCAATTTGGTTTTTCTGCCTGGCAAAGTTATGGTCTGCTCTGTTTATGGGAGGTATGGCTTAGGTCCACCCCAAACAAAATGGTAATAATCAAAACTGTCTTCAAAGCAATTTATAGCAATAAACAAATGATTGAAATAAAACTGGTCCAATCCAGCATAAGAAATGGGCTGGAACCAAGAATCCACACAAAAAGAGGCATATTGTACCACCAAAGCTGCAGAATATAAAGGCCATTTTGACTTTTGAAGCCTGGGACACTCTTCATTCTCTACCTAAAGCAATAAAGGTATGCTTGAAAATTTTCAGAAACACTGGAATATTTATTTGCCTTTTCTTTTGCTATCTAAAATCTGCTGCATTTGTATTTTTCTTCTTTTGATTTCAAACCAGTAGCTCTATCAGTATTAGGAAAAGTAATCGTGTTTTCTTGCTGTATCTCTTGAATAAAATTTCCATCAGACTTTTGCTGTGGGTCCCACTCAGAAGAGTAGCAGACAAATACCAAAACATATTTTAAAATATTACAAACAGGATTCATTCAAGAATCTCTTGTTCTCTCTTTCAAAATCCTCAGTTGCTAGGAATTACTGATACAAAAAAGAAAAACCCAACCCTGACTTGGAGCTTTTTCAGATGTATTAGGCTCATATCAGCCAAAATTCTTTGCCAGTGGAAAAGTCCCAATACACAAAACATACCCATCATTTCCACGTTTAACAGGTATAGTTGAAAACCAGGCATTTTCAGCTGCAGTTTAACTCCTTAACGTCTTTCCAGGAAAATTCTCACAACTGTCCTCCTATTCCAGATGCCTCTTTTTAGGTTGTTTAAAGGGACTATAAGAGGCTGATAATTACTAGGAATTGTTATTTTACAATCTCTGAATTGCTGCATTTCCTTCTTGGACGTATGTATTGATTTTAATTCAGTGCTGTTTACAGCCTTGGTCTTTTAACTTTGTTTGCTTGCTTTCATTCAAGCATGTGCAATACATCATGTCCTTGCCATTTTACAATCAGCAACTCTATTTCATACAACAATATTAGTATATAGCAGTATTTTTCATGTGTAATATGGTCCTTATTCTAACTTTTTTCAAAACTGGAATGATCCATCCATTAATCGTTTTTCTTTGCTTTTTCTGTTAGGTGCAGCAGGTTATTAATTCTTTGTTATACTGAGGTGAGCACAAGTTACATAAAACTTTTAGGTAGTGTGGGAAGTCAGCCCCCCCAGAGAAGAAAATATTAAAAGGGCAGAATATTATATTTCCTCAAAGGATCTTAAAGAGGCAGAAAAGCATGCCCAGTTTTTCTTAATAGCCTTGTAGAAATGCAGATGCAATAATCCATTCAGGAAGGTTGGAGCCCTCCAGCTAGAAGATTAAGAAGACAAAGACATCTAAAATCTACATACCCCACCCAAACGCTAAAACAGGACATAATAGGATTAACCCACAGATGCCAAAGGGACACACTCAGACTCAGATCAAAGTACATGACACGGGAAATACAAAGCCTCAAACAGGAACAAAAAACAATCTCAAGAGCCCCAGAGGATATAAAAACCCACTCCCTACATGTGCTCACACTCTTTTCTTCCAGAGCCATCTTTCTGTCTGGCTCTCCTCTTCAATAAACTGCAACCTTCTTTCTAAAGCAGTCACCATGTTGTTTATTCCCAGCTTGGACTGGACCCTGATGAAGACTTTTCCTTCAACACTAGCAAAAGCAAGTTTACATATTCCAGCAACTTAGTATCAAGTGGAAGCTAGAAGTATGATGTATGGTGATTTACTCTAACTTCCATTGGATCATCTGACAGTTGAAGGTGGAAACTAAACTAGATTTATTTTTTTTGTATTTAATTTATTTATTATCCTGCCTTTATTATTATTTTATAAATAATTCAAGGTGGTGAGTCCTCCTTTCTTGTATTTTCCCCATAACACCAACCTTGTAAGGCAGAGGTGGGGAACAATGGCCCCTTTATGACTTGTAGACTTCAACTCCCAGAATTCCTGAGCCAGCAGAGCTGAAGTCCACAAATCATAAAGGGGCCATTGTTCCCCACCCCTATTATCAAGTGAATTAGGCAGAGAGAGCATGACTGGCTCACGGTCACCCAGCTACCTTTCATGCCTAAGGCAGGACTAAAATTCAGTCTCCCGGTTTCTAGCCTGGTTCTTTAACCATTAGACCAGGGGTCTTCAAACTTGGCCCTTTTATGACTTGTGGACTTCAACTCCCAGAATTCCTCAGCCAGGCACGCTGGGGAATTCCAAAGTGGAACTAGTACTTCCTACGATTTGGAAATTATGAATTTACGCTGTTTAAAAACTGCAGGTATTTTTTTTTTTTGCAACAGAACCCTGGATTTGCTATGGAAGCCACTGGAATTTCAGTGGCCCCTATCCTTCCAGAAACACCGTGGTCATCTACAAAAATAAATTTTAAACTCATTTAAGATCACAATCTGAGTGAAATCAATATGGCTTACTTGAAAATAGTGTGTTTATTAGATGCTCAGCTCTATGCCTCTGTCTTAAAAGTGAGGTCAGTGAATAAATAGCTAAATGGTTTCCTCCTTTATAATATTTTCCTTCCAAAAATGGGAGTAAAGATATTTGAGCTATAGATCAAGAGCTGAGGCGCCAGAGGCAGCTAAGACATTTGCACTCGAAAAGACAACCCTTTGTATCAAGTTGCAAGGATCTGGCAAAAGGATTTGCTTTTGTCAGCCCTTCTGTTACTCTCTACCTCAGATTCCTTTTGGGTTCTTCTCTCATAAGAGATATAATCTCAAGCGAATTTGTAAAGAATTACTACACAGTTTATCAATCAAACTTCTTCCCAGCTTCAATGGTATTGGGAGTGACTGATGCTGGAGGCCTGTTACATGTTGTGTAGATAAATAATGCAGCATGTCTGCCAAAGCCTAAAAGCCCCTTGGAACAATAAGGTTCAGGCTAATGGGAAAGAAGGCAAAAAACGGAAATCAAGTGGAGAAAGAGACAGAGGGGAGGGAAAGGGCAAGCTGAGATAACAGTCAAAGATAAACAAACAGGGCAATAAAGCTAGACATTGAAGCTCTGAGTGCAGTGGAGCAGAGATGGGGTCAGGATTGTGTCTATAACTGAGACAATCCCTTCTCCAATCCCTGATGGATGACATTCCTTGAAAACAGAATGGGACAGTAAGTCTTGTTGTCCATCATTCCAGAAACTATAGTTTCTGCAGCGTGGTGAGAACAGGAAGAGAGATCATACTGGGGATCAAAAATGCTGCTAAAGGGTTGAAGATGCCAGTGTTAGCAAATCCTAGCCTAGCATTCTCAACTGAGATTTTTATTTATTTACAGAATAGAGCTGGAAGGGACCTTGGAGGTTTTATAGTTCAACCCTACACTCAAGCAGGAAACCCTATAGCATTACAGACAAGTGGACGTCAAGACTCTTTTTAATCTTTTTAAAAAGCTTTTTATTGGTTAATTGTCCTCACTGCTAGGAAGTTTCTCCTTAATTCCAGGTTGCTTCTCTCCTTGATTAGTTTCCATCCATTGTTTCTTGTCTTGCCTTCTGGTGCTTTGGAGAATAGGTTGACTCCCTCTTCTTTGTGGCAGCCCTTCAAATATTGGAACACTGCTATCATGTCACCCCTAGTTGTCCTTTTCACCGGACTATCCATACCCAATTCCTGCAACCATTATTCACATGTTTTAGCCTCCCTTGAAACTTAAATGCATAACTTCCTCCCCATGGGATAGGATGAAGGGAACTGGAACAAACAGCTTCCTAATTCTGTTTCTTTTCTCTCCTAAAATAACCAATGAAAAGATAACAATGGAATAAGCCATAGCATTCAATGGCTCTAATGGATGGGCCAAAGGGAATTTTAGTAAAATACATCTAGGAGCACAGAGGTGGGAAAGTTAATCTACGGAGAAATAGATGAGAATTAAAATTATCTTACCCTGCGCCCTGCCTCGTTGTTCTGCAGGTTCATAAGTATACGGGCCTGCTCTTCTGATCCCTTGGCATAGTTCCTCTCCCTTTCTCTGGCATCCACAAACTCTTTGGCAAACCGGTAGCCATATTCCACATTGTCCCCACACCCACCCCAAAGCCAGTCCCGGGGCAGGTCCTTGGGTCGGGCTGTCCGGCTGCAGCCACAAGTGGAAAGCTCTCCTTCACGGCAGGCGCGGCTGATGGCGTTCACAACTCCTGCAGCACTGACAGCATACGCGAAGGCAGTTTCTCGGCTACCTGAGGGAAAGAGAAGAGATCATCGAAGTCACAAACGTTAGTGATCCTTTTGGTCTCTACTGGAAACATAGCCTTTCCCAATGTGGGTCCCTCTAGGATTGTAGAAATTACAAATGTATTCTAAATAGAACTTGACTTACAACAGTTCATTTAGTGACTGTTCGAAGTTATAATGGCACTGAAAAAAGTGACTTGCCCATTTTTCGCACTTATGACAGTTGCAGCATCCTCGCGATCACAATGATCAAAATTCAGACGCTTGGGCAACTGATTCACATTTATGACAGTTGCAGTGTCCTGTGGTCACTTGAACAGTTTTTGCAATCTTCTGACACGCAGAGTCAATGGGGAAGCCAGATTCACCTAACCACTGTGTTACTGCAGTGATTCACTTAACAACTGTGGCAAGAAAGGTCATAAAATGGGGCAAAACTCACTTAACAAATAACTAAATTAGCAACAGAAAAGTTGAGCTCAATTATGGTTGTAAGCTGAGGACTATGCCATTTTGGACAGGGAATTCTAGATTCAAAATAACTGGAAGGAGTCAGATTGGGAAGATTGTTCTATCAAATTCCACATGTCACTTATAGCTCAAACATATTTCATCTCTCCTCCCATAATTACTTCAGTTTCTTCCAATACAAAAACAACCTTCAGTTCTCCTTGGTTTTGTGCTAACAACAGTTAGACTGGTACTTTGAAAAGAAAGGTACCATCTGTTACATCCACCAATCCTCAGAGTATTATCACGGTACCATTCCTCTCTGAAAAGACATCCATACTCAGACTTTTGGGAATTGTGACTACCAAAGAGATAAATGAATTGAGATGACCTTTCCCCTGAATAAAACAAATGACTGAACTGGAGTTAAATAAACCTTCCATTCATTTTAATCCATATATCTAATAGAATAATGATAAAACTACTGTATATAACTATATAAGACAAAAACATTTTCCTTAGTACTTAAAGAGATTAGAAAGAAAGAAAATATACGAGTGGGAAACAAGACTGATGATGGACATGTTTCAGCCAAACCAGTGCAATGCAATTTCTGCACACTAGAATGAGACTAACTTCCAAAAGATGATATAGGAATAGGCCCAGTACATTCCATGGAACTTCCTCCCAAACAGTAAGTGTATAGGATTGCGCTAATGAAAGCAATATGATACAATAGTGAAAAGGTTGCACTTAATTGGGAAACATTACTGGTAGATATAAAACCTGGCTCAGCAGCAACATTCATAGATAATAAGAGGCAAATCATTCACAATTAAACCTGCCTTTCAGGAATGCTGAATGGATAAAAATATCTTTCTGAATTCTGTGTACTGTATGATTGTGTGTGTGTGTGTGTTTGAGAGAGAGAGAGAGAGAGAGAGAGGAAGAAGAAGAAGAAGAAGAAGAAGAAGAAGAAGAAGAAGAAGAAGAAGAAGAAGAAGAAGAAGAAGAAGAAGAAGAAGAAGAAGAAGATGATGATTCCAACTCACATTTATATCTTGAGGGGTGTGACTGCATAACTAATAACGATCTACAAAATCTCCACTATTTAATGTTAACAGCTGAAGAAAGGTTGCTTTCTATTTTCAAATTTCTTTCAGGATTATGGAGCCAGGGTGTATAGATGCAAGGGAAAGTTAGAAATATAAGAAGAGAAAGCAGGAGTCATGTTCTATTTGCAACATAGATGCTTTGTTTCTAAATAGCTGTTGTTGGAAGTCAAAACTGAATCAGTTACAGATATGAAGCAGTTACCAACAGATTTGGGGGAACCAAAAGATTTCCAAGATGGTAAAAAGGTATAATAAAATGCCCTCTCTAGCATCCAAGGAAGCTCTTGAGAGATTGCTCTCAGGAATAAGAGTTCCTTGTGCCAATTTATTTTGCTTATGGATTGTACAATATGGGAGGAGGATGTTAGAACAGGGACAGAATTTTATCTTTGAGGTTTTGTCACATGATGCAGATGGAATAGGCAGAAATCGGAAACTGCCAGTAGCTATAGCAAATGTCATGACTGATCCAAGTCAGAAGCTCCAAATGATGAATGATATTTTTTGTTTAAAATGGAAAAGATGCCCTCAAGTTGTGTTTAACTCTTAGTGACTGCAGCAATTCAACCTTGTTGGCAGTATTACAGACACAGATATATATATTTTTTACTTCCGGTGCTAATGTTCAACTCTGGGATTCCAATCCAAGTGCTATATTTATGGTAGACCTGCTTAGCTTCTGAGATCACCCAAGGTTGACTAGCATTGTAACCTGCTGAATCCATATAGAACAGTGGTTCTCAACCTGTGGGTCGGGACCCCATTTGGGGTCGAACGACCATTTCACGGGGGTCACCAAACAAGGCTGTCCGTCATTTTTTTCCCCCTTTGGCCACGCCCCTGGCACCCGGTGATGTATAAGTGGTTGGGGGTCACCACAACATGGGGAACTCTCAATATCTGCCTATCCCTTTTGGATAACTGTGGAGAGTTATTCCATTTCGTTTACATATCATTCTAATTTATTTAGCTTTGGTTTATTACCCTGTGTGAATTTAGTCAACTGTAGTTTATAATACATTCAGATAATTATGGTTTATCCAAACCTGGCAAACTATTTCTAACATGTGATTTCCAGTTACTGGGTTGAAAATATTACATTAGGATCAGTTCAGCAGTTCGAATCTTACAAGGTTGACTCCGCCTTCCGAGGTCAGTAAAACGAGGACCCGGATTGTTGGGGGACAATATGCTGACTCTGTAAACTGCTTAGAGATGGTTTTCAAGCACTGTGTAGCGGTATATAAGTCTAAGTGCTACTGCTATCAGATTGTAACACTGTGTACAAAATAACTGATAATTATCTTTAACAAGTATAACAAATTGGCACCTAACAACAATCTCAACTAAGTTATAGATGCACTGCAAGAATATGAAATTTGATGTTGAAACTCCTATCAAACTTCACATTAGCGGTGCTAGTTAGGATAGCTAGAACTCAGAAAACCCACTGCCAACAAACATAGATAGGGTTCAGTGATTGAAGCAAGACTAAGATTCCAAACCAGCCCCATGAAGACAAAAAGAATACTATGAAGTAGTAGCAAAAATCTCTACTTACTTGACAGATTGCCTCGATGACTGAAAAAAAATGGCAAAGACTTTTCTTGGTCTTTCTCAATAACCTTACAAAGCTAATCCTTTACACAGAATAAATATATTCTTACCCTCCTGATATTTAGTGACTCCTCAGATTCACATGAAACTAAACTAAGTGGGCCAGCCGCAACTAGATCTACTTAAAGCCATATTTGCCATAATCACAAAAAAAGTGAGGAAGGGGCATCCAGCTTACACTAGTATTTTTTTAATATTCAGTACTATTTCATTGATATATTTTATTCAATATTATGTGCAATGTTCTCTCCTTCATATTCTATGCTCACAGGAACCCTGAGTGGTTAGCTGATAAACAGAATGGCAATGACTGCCTAGAGCACAGGTGTCAAACTCGCCACCTCGTGACACGACATATTGCAACTCTTTTTGCATTGCCGGCAATGGGGTGGGTGCGGTAAAACCGGTCGCAGTTTGATACCCCTGGCCTAGAGAAACCCTGTAAGTTTCAGGCTGGGAAACTGAACATGTTGCTGTTAAATAACAGTGGAACTTGGGTGGGGGGAAAAAGTCAATGCATTTAATTCCACTGTGGCTCATCTCTTCATAGTTTCTCTCTCCAGCTTACAGAGATATAATAACAACAACAACAACAACAACAACTAGGAACTGCTTCCATCCTGCAACGATATCTGTAATACCATCAAACATCCACATCTGCCTACCCCAGGTCCTGGGTAAGGACTCGATAGGTAGACAAAATGCCAAATCCAGTCTGAACATCTGGCTGACTATGCGATGATCCATAATAATAATAATAATAATAATAATAATAATAATAATAATAATAATAAAGTTGGAAGGGACCTTGGAGGTCATCAAGTCCAACCCCCTGTTTCTTAAACCAGATCCCTCACTTGTGTTTTCTTCATAATTTGTAATCTATCTGATATCAACATGCTCAGCCTGATATAAATCCTGGCTGTTCCCATCCTGCCCAGATGCACCACATTTCACTCCAGTAATTGCAATTAACAAGCATCTTACAAGTACTTCGAATTCACACATACAGCTAACTCTAAATACATCTCAGAATATGTTCTTTTAATGCATGGAGATGCCTCCACAATAATGTATTGAAACAGCCATAATTAGCAAAGATTTTTATTATGTACAGATAGTCCTCAGCGTACAACAGTTTATTTAGTGACTGTTCAAAATTACAATGGCAGTAAAAAAAGTGACTTATGGTCCTTTTTCACACTTACAATCATTGCAGCATCCTCGTGGTAACGTGATCAAAATTTGGACGCTTGGCAACTGACTCATATTTATGATGGTTGCAATGTTATGGGGTCATGTGATCATCTTTTGCACTCTTCTGACAAGCAAAGTCAACGGGGAAGCCAGATTCACTCAACAACCATGATACTAACTTAGCAATTACTGTGGCAACAAAGGTCGTAAAATGGAGCAAAATTCACTTAACAAATGTTTCACTTAGCAACAGAAACGTTGGGGTCAATTGTGGTCGTAAGTCGAGGACTACCTGTATTCTGAACTTTCAGGGTACCTACTATAGGATCCTCTTACTAACTTATAGAACCATAAGAAGGCAGCCTCTCAAATTGTCCTCCTAAGACAGTGATGGCGAACCTTTTAGAGACCGAGTGCCCAAAAACTGGCCCCACCCCTGCTCCACCCCCTTGCCCCGCCCCTGCCCCTGCCCCACCCACACCCCATCCCCCACCCTGCCTGCCCGCAGGGCCACTCACCACTCCAGGGCCCGCCGCAGATTGCCCAGACAGCCCAGCAGCGCCATGGCATCCACGCCCCACAGCATCAACTGTGCGGGATGGGGCATGAGGGCAGAGTCTTGTCTA